CATTCACAGCACAGATGACATTATCACATGATTTGAAAAAAAATAAGAAAACAAATTGAATTTTAAAAGGATGACAACTGCTTTGTGGTTCTTAAGATCACAAAAGTACTGTCGTCTGATATAATTATCTATATGATTCTTAAAACTCTGTCTCCCTAAGCCAAAGAATCTAAGTGCATAAAATCTGTGAGCTAACACCAGTTAGTTATTTTAGAAGCTGCATTAACTGTTTTATCCTGCTAGGTGGTGCAGTGGTTAAAGCGCTGAGCTGCTAAATGAAAGGTCGGCAGTTTGAAAGCACAAGCCGCTCCACAGGAGCAAGATATGGCAGTCTGCTTCCGTAAAAATGATAGCCTTGGAAACCCCATGGGACAGTTCTTCTGTCTTACAGTGTTGCTATGAGTTGGAATCGGCTCAACGGCAATGGGTAGGATTCCATCTGCAATAGGATATTTTGCTACATGCTGTTATTAGGGAATGGACAAGAACATCAGCCATTAAAGTCCAGCCACCAAAAAAGAGACTGCAATGAAGGAAAAGGCAAACAAGAAAAAGCCAATAAACAAACAAAACCAAAATGCTGTGGACCTCCCAGAGGCCTCAGGAAGGTTATGAGGGAAAGATAACTAAGATCTCACTGAAACGACTGACCAAGGGAGACTGCACCTTAGGGGCTCGTAATGCGCCACAAATTTCTTTTCAATTAGCTGCCTAGAACCAAAATGTCTTTTCTCAAAGAAACATTAAAAATGCTAACTGGGTTCCCAGGCTAGGCTAAACAAACAAAACCTACTTTATACAATATCAAAGACGAAAAACTATACACCAACTATAATAAATAATAAAACCAGTGTGTAAATACACTGTACGATATTTAAAGCACATGTTCCTCTGGGCCCTGGCAATCCCTGGGACAGTTCTGTAATGCTTTTACCTCAGCTTGTTCCTCTTCTCCCACAAGCCCCCAGTTTCAGCAAACCTGGATGGCTCACAGGCCCTTAAGCACAGTCCTTGCTTTCGTGTTTTTCAGTCAGGTGGCCCCCCCTTGCCTTTGATGCCCTTTTCCCTAGTCTACTTACCCAAATATTCTAAAACAGTATCCATATCAACTCAGCATTCAAGGGCAGGGATAAGGAACTTGTGGGGACACAGCTAAAATATTCTAAAAATAGAGCTTCTACATTTCCCTTATAATACAAGACTGAGGTACAGGTGGGAGAGGTGGAGATGAGAAGAGCACAGAAGGAGTTTTTCTGATCTTCCCAAAGCTCCAGCTAGGCATAACTCTGACAGATCATACTGCCTTCAGACTATGATACTGAGGAAAATGGTATGACAGTGAACCCCCTGACTATGTAAGCTCCATGGGGGCAGGGACCAAGAGTCCTAATTCTCTTCAGAGCTCAGACCTGTGCCTAAACATAGTAACTGCATGTGGAAAGAATGAATGATCATATAAGTCTTCTTGGCTTTCAAATTTTGTCATCATCCTACAGGAGACCTCCCTCCTCCTGTACCACTCATCACCTTCTTCCTCTGGTCCTTCTAAAGTGAGTTTATGGACCTAACTAGGCTGGCCTTTTATGCTATAACTTGAACTCAAGCTCTGCACCAAAATGCTGACTGCTATGTCTGTGAAGAGAGATCACTGCCAGCCATCTCTCTTTCACACACACGCCTCATGAACAATGGCTGTTTAAAACCTTGTGGTAAAAAAGAAATATGGCGGCTCAGGAGACACCTGGCCTTACCGTGGGTGTGCTAGCTATTTTCCAGGATGCTTCATACTAAATGTTACATAAAGCTATTAATAAACACTTTTTAAAAGAATAGCAAATGAGTGCAATGAATAACATAGATAATTTGGGTACATATTGGTTAGGGAATATTTACATTCGTGAATTTAAAAAATTTATATACAACTTTCCTAGATTAGATATACACTTTGAGGCTAATATCTTAGTCCTAATAATCTTAATGTTCTCACAAAGTGGAAGAAAAAAAGCAAACACACACACACACAATGACATCAAAGTACCTCCTCCCAAAACTAGCAGCTGGTATAAAGTCACACATCAATCTATACTTTCCTATGTAATAAAAACCAAGATTAATTTACTTGTTCAAAATATTAAAAAAGTATTCATTTAGGAAAGTGAAAAAAAGTTTTTGCTGTTTTCTAAAAGTACCGCTCTTTGAAAGTTTCAATTACAATGTATAAAATATTAATGATAAAATAAAAGTAACACTTTCGGTATTAATACACTATGTACCACAGTCTGTATTTACAATATACGTACCTTTCAAAACCCCAGTTTTCATACATTGCTTGGGGTATATTTTATTTAAAAGCACAATTTGATGTGATAACACAAAATGATATTTACCCAGAGACTGTGTGCCCTAGAGCAGAATCTCCTGGATCATCAAATATACTCTACAAATGCATCTGTGTTATGACAGTGGAAAGTAGATATAGTTTATTTACACTTAGGTAGATAAAAAGACCCTTGAGTGGAGAGAAATACTTAATGAACTAATAAAAGAGAAAGTAGTACGAACTCCAGGGCTGGGAAGGAAAGCGCTCAAGGGCATGCAGCCTAGCTCATTTCTTGCTCTACTTGGATAATTTGCATCCTTTCTTTCACCACACTATTATTTCTCAAGACTATCTTTCTCTCCACCCATTTTTATTTCCCCTTCTTTCCAAACTCTGACTCACTGACTTTTCTTCATCACCATTTAATAAACTACTTTTCTTTGAAACCCTCTCTTCCAGGTTCTCATGAAATTACAGCTGGAAGGAGCCTTTCAGAATTGGAGCAGTAAGAATGATTCAAAGAAAATTAACATAGAGAGCACAGAAAGGAAGGGGGTGAGAGGAAATGGGACACCATAGGCTTCAGGTCGTTTCTGCTTGAACCTGGAATATATTCCTCCTTACAGACAACAGGCTACATCCCACTAAGCCTCTATGTTGGTTAAAGAAACACCATCTGCCCACACCAGGTAGCTCATTACAGAAAGTAAGGAAGCAGTCTCAGGTTTCGTAAGTGGATAGCCAGAGCATGGGTGAGTATCTTCCCTCTGACCTGCTAGTGAGAGGTCACTTGTTCCAGGGGCTACTCTTCTCAGGCCCGGCCAACAATATTTTATTATCTTATATGCCTTCCACAGGCTAGCAGCAGGCTATCACATGAGGCAACTGCACAAAATTCCCTATTTCATTCATAATATTTTTACACAAATATCAATAAAAACAGCATCACAGAAAAAGCATATTCCACCTTTGCCCTCATTTTTTTTTTCTGAGGCTCAAGAGATGAGAAAGCTCAGGGATAGGAAAGAAATGACAGACAGGATTGAGAACTCCTGGGTGTGGCTCTGGTGATATGGAGATTGGAGGACCTTGACAATGTCTGATAACTCCAAAGTATGCAAAGTGCAATTACTTGCCAAAGAGCTAGTATGATGCTCAGCTCTGCACGATTGTGTAATGGGAAACCCTGATGCAATGTTTAAAGAACCAACAGGCCAGAGATGAAGGGAAGGGTGCATCTTTCCCAGTTTTTGTAGCTACAGCATACTGTCAGTGTAACAGTAACAAGGCATGTGGAAGACTTAAAAAACAAAGCCTCCATTAAAAACTGACTTTTAACCATTCTCAATACCAATAGCTGCTTAAACAAGTTTATTACCCAAAGTGTCAAACTTGAGATCTTCTGAAAAAGAATGCTTTTCTAAAGAAGTCAAAGCTGCATCAACGTCAAAGAATCCCAGCAAACGTTTTCTCCACAACATACATTGCATGTATCCTATTGTATTCATGCTGTAACTACTGTCTCATTTACTATAACAACAACAAACACAAAGGCGACGGGAATATATTCTCATTTGCAGGGAGGAAAACTCAAAGCCATAAAGTGCGAGGTTAATTTCCTCTACTGCTGGTATGCAATGCAATATTACAAAACGACTAGAAAAAATTAAACCATAAGATCATTTCTAAAATTCTTTTAACCTGATTTTAGATTTCCGGAGCTTTTAAATGCTTTAAACCAAAACCAACAAAGCAAATTGGGAAAACGTAAAAACAGTATTATGCCACGATTACTTCCACTAGGAGAGCTGCATGAATCAACCGACAGCCCTGCCAAATAAACTACAATAGCTATAAAAGGAAAAGTTCGCTAATTTAGGAAAATTGTACATATGCAGGCTTCTGGGACAACCTCTAGGTGCTACTGTAGAAAATCCCTTCCTAAAGACTTATTTCGTACCTGGTATTTTAGCCTCCCCCTCCCCCTGACTGCACTGCAGTGCGCAAAGCCATTATAGACAATCACCTCAAATATATTTGCTGTTAAAAAGCCTCAGAAACTAACATTCTCTAATGTTCAAGGAGCCCAACCAACGGCTATTTTACTTTTCACTCCAAATTATACTATAGACGCAGCAGCTAGATAGAAGAAAACATTAGGGTCGTGTCCAAGCAATCAGGAGACTAAGGCAGCAAAAAGATAGCTACCTCTGGAGCCCCTTCAGCCATCTCTCCGTAGAGAATATTCCTAAATGTTAAAAACAATCCTGTGCGTAAAGCACAATTGTCAGATAAAATCAGGAAATGTGGGACTGCAGGATGGGGCGGTTCCTGCAATGAGCTTTTAGTTGTACACGCTCCATCTGATCTGTCAGCTCCTGCATCCGAGGAGATGATGAGAGAGATCGGGAAAGCTCAGAGGAAAACTGTGTGTGTGTCGGGGAGTGGGGAGGTGCTCGACGTTCGGATCAGATTAGCCAGTGCCCGACCGCGTCCCCGCGCCCTGGCGCCTCCTCCGATCCGTAGCATCCTAACAGCCACAGAGTCGCAGCCCGGCGCAAGGGGCAGGGGCCCTGCAGTGCCGAGGCCAGTGCGCTCCGAGGCCGGGGATCGTTGTCTCCAACCGAGGAAGCCAGCGGCCCGCAAGGCCAGAAGGGGATAGGGAATCCAAAGCCTTTACCTGCGATGGTCCAGGTCCAGCGGTAGAACTCCACGGTATCGTTGAGCGCCGTGGACATCACGTTCAGGACACTGCCCGGCTCCGAATCCAGGAGCCCCATCGCGGCGGTAGCAGGCGCTGGCGGCGGCGGGAGGAGAGAGCCGAGACCCGGCGGGAGGGTTGACCTCGGAAGCGACGGGGGGCGAGCGGGAGCCGAGGGCCCCTCCAACGGCGCCGGCTCAGCTGCGTTTTCTACTCCTACTCCTCCTCCTCGCGGCGCTGCGGCGGCGAGGATGCGGCGCTGCAGACGAGCCGGGCCAGGTAGAAGGTATAGTCAAGGTTCCCGACAGGAGGAGGAGGAGGTCCAGCCCTGAGCGCCAGTCGCTGCACCACTCCGCCGCCTCGCGCAGCCGCCGCTCCACTCGCCTCCGCCGGCGTCACGTGACTGCGCGCGGGGGCGAAGGGGCCGGCGCTTCCCTCCCCCCGCCCGCGCGCCGGAACGCTGTTGCGCACGGATGCTGCGGGCAGGAGGCGGTGGGAGCCAGGCCAGCGCAGGCGCCCGCCGCGTCGCAGCCCTAGATGCTCTCTACTCCCCCGCCACCCCAGAGCCGGACACCTGGATCCTGCTAGCTGCCCCTCCCCGTCACCCTCCCTGTTCTCCTCCCTCGCTCTCCTGCCAAGCATCAGGCCCCCGCGGAGGAGTATGCTGTCTTCCCACCGGTCACCTCGCATCTGCCCGCATATGTCCTACGAAACAGAGCAGGGAAGAATGGGGTTTGTGTGTCCTTACCTGTCGCTCACCTCGATTTCCCTTGTGTTCCTGCTACCTCTACCCGCAACAGCACACACATTTGCATCATGACAAGGCAAGTCATCCCTCTAAATAAGTGAAGGGATGTTTGTCTTCTATGCTACAGTGATGGAGAAAGGATTTGGGAATGCCCATTAACAAATTAACAAATAATTGAATGAATGTTCACTGAATGTATTCTGTAGACCCAGAATACATGCAGCAAATATGATTTCATGTATACTTTAATGGAGCCCTGCTGGCGCAGCTCGCTGCTAACCAAAAGGTCAGTAGTTCGAATTCACCCGCTCCTTGGAAACCCTATGGCGCAGTCCTATAGGGTCGCTATGAGTCGGAATGCGCTCGACGACAACAGGTTTGAATTTTTTTTTTTTTATATATTTTAGTATCCATGAAATCAAAGCGGTATAATTTTGTTGAATTAGGCGGTTAGGGGTTCAGAGTTGAGGTGAATCTGAAAGGATAATTGCTCAGTAGAAAAAGCAATCTAGGTGAGAGAGGAAAACACAAAGTATTTTTCCATTTAAAAAATTATTTAGGTAAGTAGAAGGTGGGAGGCAATGAGGAGAGTCTACCCCTGAAAAGTTGCAAAAATACACTACGTACAATTCATGATTTGATAGTTCCTGACATGAAACAGGATCTTTCCAAAAGTCCAATAATCCTTCACCTATTTATTATTTGAACATGTTACATACTTCTTGTTAATCTCGTCACCTACTTGTTTAACCTTTTCTCCACCTGTTTGTTTAGGATGCTGCTTTTTAAGGCCACTGAGTCAAGTGTGTGATTGCCTCTGCCCTTTGGCACTTAAATTAATGTGAATACTCCTTTTATTTTGTTTATTTTATTTTCCAATTGACCAGGTTATATATTCTTTGACTATATTTTATATTGGAAGCCTCCTAGAGGATAAGAATTGTTTTTGATTCCTTGATGAGAACCTAACCCAGTGCTATAAATAGTAATTAATAGATTATAACAGTTTTTTTAGAGCATAATAAGCACTTTTTTAAGTGGCAGGTGCTGTAGGGAGGGATGAAGGTAGTTAAAAGTAATTGATTTATTGTATAACTCAAGCAACTAGTCTTTAAATGCTCTATTCTCAAAATTAACCAAATAAAATGTAAGTTATAAATTTATCAAATATTTTGGTTGTATTAAAGTTTCCTGGATTATGATTGTTCAAGTTTCAACCCCAATTCCTATGTATCAGATAACTTCTAGTAGTTATGTAGAAAAGATTCAGTCAAGTTTCTCCATTTGGGGAGTGGAATGAATGAAGATCAAGGATCCACCCACTTATCTCGATGATCTAACAAAGTTCAGGTAAGTTTGAACCTCACCTAGAAAATCAATTGCTACTTCCATATTATGGAATACTGGATGTTGTTCAGGAGGAATAGATCAACATCCTTACCTGAATACACATGCACAAAACCTCAGCATCTTTTCATGTTTAATACAGTGTGTGAAATTGTTAAAACTGCTTCAGACATTTCCCAGGCCTGTCCTTCTACAAACCAAAAACCCATTGCTGTCAAGCTGATCCCAACTCATAGCAATCCTGTTGGACAGAGTAGCACTGCCCCATAGGGTTTCCAAGGAGTGGCTGGTGGATTTGAACTGCCAACCTTTTGGTTAGCAGCTGGACTCGTAACCACTGTGCCACCAGGGGCTCCTGTTCTTCTACAGTAGCGGTCAATTTAAGCCCCTTTGTTCACTAGGGGGCGCCTGTCACATATAAGAAAATCCCAGACAAAGAGATGACAAACTTAGGGAGAGTAATAAGTTTATTTGCACTTATGAGCTGTCCAAGTATACACTAAGCCCCAGAGCCCTAGAACTTACCCACTCTAGAGCCTTACTGCCTGGCATAGAGACTAATATTCCAGTACTCAAAATTCACAAGTGACTTATAAATGCCAGTGGCTGACCAGAACCAAAGCCTACCTAACCTGGTTGTGCAAAAGGAAGTAGGCCTCCATATCTACTCACCTAGGATGACATCCATCTAACTAAGATCTCTGTGGCATCATGACAACAAAAGCAAATACAAGTACCATCGTAATTTGCAATATTTTGAGAACAGAAGGAAAAAAATCCCTTTGATGTAGATTGAGTGTACAATAAGATACTCATAGTTATCCACAAAAACTAAGGGAGAGGACATGATTATAATAATTCTATTTAAAATAGCAAAATATTTTTGTCTTAAACACAGCCCATACATACACACTTAGCAACATAAACTAAGCTACCGATTTTTTCCTACTCTTTGACTTTTTGGTGTTGGCAATATTGTAAGCAACCAGTGTTTTCAAAAAACAGTGAACCTGGGATCCTGTTTAGTTGGGAGTGAAAGGAAGTATTCTGATAAAGAAGAGCTTATAGAAAGACCCTAAATATTCTAGAAGTAAAATTTGCTAAATGAGTGCTGCCTATAGAGAATGAAAAAATTCATTGATAATACTAATTGCTGTCTGCTAGTTCCAGTCTTTTGTTTATTCTACTCACCACTCCTCCTCCGCTACACAAAGATAAAAAATATGTACTTCCAATGATACAATACAGGTTTTCAACTAATTTGGAATTACAATCTTTGCCTTAAGTGATCTTTCATTCTAAATTTTTAAAAGAATTTCACTTTTTTGTTACCTTGTATGTAAAATTTTTATTTTATGAAATGAAAATATGGATTCTCCTGATAATACATGATCATTGAAAAAGTAGCAAATAATACAGTAAAGTGACAATACCCCCATAGTCTCATCTCCTATTCTTAACAGTTATATTTTCTAAGATTTCTATATGCTTATATCATTCTTTTTGTATACAAATGGTGTCATAATAGTACTCCATAACCTACTTTTTAGAAATTTAGCAATACTTAATATTCTATTGGGAGTCCCTGGGTGGCACAAACCGTTCAGCACTCCACTACTAACCAAAAGTTTCGCACTTCAAATCCACCCAGAGGCACCTCAAAAGACAGGCCTGGCAGTCTGCTTCTGAAAAGTCACAGCCTTGGAAACCCTATAGAGCAGTTCTGCTCTGTACACACTGAGTGGCCATGAGCCAGAATCCACTCAACAACTAACAATAACAATATATTCCATTATATGGATGCAGTATAATTTATTTCACCACTGCCTTACAGATGGTCATTTTGATTGTTTCTTTGTATACACAATTTGATGAACTTGTCTAATTTTCTTAGTATAAATTTAGATAACTGAAATTTCTGAGTCAAGAGGTTTGCACACTCTAAAATGTTGATACATGATGCTCAAATTCCTTCCAGAAATGTTGTACCAATTCACAGTCCCACCAAAATCTGTGAAAGCATTCTTATTTCCTTATACCTTATTCCCCATCATACCCTATTGTAACCCATAATTAACACATATATTTATATATTCTATAATTATACCCTATTATACTTCCAAACAGAACAAGGCGATACTTGTGGTTTAAAAATCCAGAAAGGTGTACGTCAGTATTATGTCCTTTCACCATACTTATTCATTCTGTATGCTGAGCAGATAATCCGAGAAGCTGGACTATATGAAAAAGAATGCAGCATCAGGATTGGAAGAAGACTCATTAACAAGCTACAGTATGCAGATGACATAACCTTGCTTGCCAAAAGTGAAGAGGACTTGACGCACTTACTGATGAAGGAAAAAGACTACAGCCTTCAGTCAGTATGCATTATACCTCAACCCAAAGAAAATGAAAATCCTCACAACTGGACCAATAAGCAACATCATGATAAACAGAGAAAATATTGAAGTTGTCAAGGATTTCATTACACTGGGATCCGCAATCAACACCCATGGAAGCAGCAGTCAAGAAATCAAGTGACGCATTGCATTGGGCAAATCTGCTGTAAAAGACCTCTTTAAAGAAAAGCAAAGATGTTACTTTGAGGACTATGGTGCACCTGGACCCAAGCCATTCAGATGCATGCGAAAGCTGGATAATGAATAAAGAAAACTGAAGAATTAATGTCTCTGAATTAACGGTGTTGGCGAATAATACTGAATGTACTATGGACATCCAGAAGAATGAACAACTCTGTCTTGGAAGAAGTACAGTCTGAGTGCTCCTTGGAAGCAAGGATGGCGAGACTTCGTCTCACATACTTTGGACATGTTATCAGGAGGGACCAGTCCCTGGAGAAGGATATCATGCTTCTTAAATAGAGGCTCAGCGAAAGAGAGGGAGACCTTCAGTGAGATGGATTGACACAGTGGCTACAACAGTGGGCTCAAGCATAACAAGGACTGTGCGGATGGTGCAGAACCAGGCAGTGTTTTGTTCTGTTGTACATAGGGTCGCTATGAGTCGGAACTGACTCGACAGCACATCACAATAACAGCACTTCTAAATCATTGCTAATTCAATAGGCAGATATTAATATTTCATTGTTGTTACTTAACAGTTTATCATGTTTATTGACATTTTAACTTTTGGGGAATTACCTATTCACATTCTTTTCACATTTTCCATTAGTTGTCTCTTTTTTTCACTTATATATGACAAATCTTTGTATAATAAGGTTATTACCACTTTGCTGTGAAT